GTCCTTGAGAACATTGATCAGTTACTCCCTGGAACTTTCAGTCTACAGTGAGGCTTTGTCTCAACATAACTTCAGACATTTTATACTTCAAAACTATAAAAAGACATGGAGACATCTTAAATGCACATTGCTAAGTAAAAGAAGTCAGCCTGAAAAAGCTACATGCTGTATGATTTCTATGTGACATTCTGGGAAAGGCAAAACCATAGGAACAGTAAAAAGATCAGTAATTGCCAAGAGAGAGGAGAAAGAAAGGAATAAATAAGGAGAACACAGTGAATTTCTAGGGCAGTGAAACTACTTGACATGATATTATAATAGTGGATTATACATTTGTCCAAACCCGTGGGATGTAGAGCATAAGAGAATACTCATGTAAGGGAAATAAGGCTATGTTGGTTGTAACTAATGCGTTTGTGGGAAGGGGGGGGGTATGAGGGAAATTTCTGTGTCTTTCACTCAATTTTGCTGCGACCTTACTGCTGCTCCGATAAATAGACTATTTTTAAAACTATGGTCATGATGGTAAATTTTATGCTATGCTTTTTTAAACCACAATTTCAAAAATATGGTTTTCTTTCTTCCTCATACCCCAACCTCACTCACTGTAGCAAAGACCATTAACAGTGTCATGTTTTTAACTAAGTTTCAAAGTCATACTTTTATTTTCCAAATGTGAGCATTTATTTATTTATTATTTTGGTTTTTAGCATTACCCAAGAACACAAAAACACTAATTTGAAAGGAAGCCCGCACTTCTATTTATTGCAGTTCTATTTACAATAGCCAAGATAGGCAAATAAAGTTATTTAAACGACAATCCTGTGCTCAGAGAGAGGTTCTAACTAGAGAAATACAGATTTGAGAGTTAAAAGCAAGGATGTGATACTTCTATAATGGGAGTTGATGAAACCTCCACAGATTGTGTACAAATAAAGCAGAAGATGCTGAGGAGGAACCAAGAAGCAGAGGGGAGAAATCATCAGTCAAGTAGAGAAAAAGTAAACAGTGAAACAATATGAAAGCAGAAGAGAACATTTTAAGAATAAATGCCTAAATCAAAACCACAAGATACTACTTTACTCATTAGGAGGGCTATTATAAAAAAAAAGTGAAAAATAACAAATGTTGACAAGGATATGGAGAAATGCACTTCAATGGGAATGCAAAAAGTTATAGCTGCGGTAGGAGACAGTTTGGGGATGTCTCAATAAGTTAAAATAGAATCACCATTTGATCCAACAATTCCACTCCTAGGTATATAATCAAAAGACTTGAAAGCAAGACTCAAACAGAATTTATACCAGTATTTATAAAGCACTTTACACAATAGCCAAAGGTGGAAACCACCGGAATGTCCATCAGTGAATGAATGGTTAAGCAAATTGTGGTGTAATACATACAATGGAATATTATTCAATCTTTAAATGGGCTGAAGTTCTGACATATACAATGGTATGGATGAATCTTGAAAACATTATTCTAAGTGAAATAAACCAATCCCAAGAGGGCAACTACTGTAAGATTCCACTTACACAAGGTCCCTAGAAGAGGCAAACTTTTATAAAAGAGACAGAAATATAATAGACGTTGTCAGGGCCAGAGGGGCGGGGAGATTGGGGAGCTATTGTTTAAATTGTATATAGTTTCAGTTGGGGAAGATGAAAAATTCTGAAGTTGGATGGTGCTGGTGATTGTGCAAAACTTAAATGCCCTTAATGCCATTGAACTGTGCACTTTATTTATTTTTTTTTTTTAAGAGAGGCATGTATTTTTATTTATTCATTTATGTATTCATTTGTTTGTTTTGTACATGCATTGGGTACAGTCAGAAGCGCGGGAGGGTGAGAGAATTCACCAGAGCCAGAGCGGGGAGCAGAGCAGGCAGAAGGATCGAAGTACACTGCTGAGGGGAGCAGCGGGCGGCAGGAGACGTCTGCGCGCCATGTGGGACCCTCCTCCAGTGGCCGGGGAGCAGCCAGGGATCGAACCGGCGCCGCAAAGTCCGCAGGCAGCTTCGCAACCCAGCGCTCAACCGCTGCGCCACCGGGGAGGCCCTGAACTGTGCACTTTAAATAGTTAGAATGGTAACTTTTATGCTATGTATATTCTACCTCAATAAAGAAAAGAATAAATGCATTAAAGAAGCCAGACACAAAAGAGTACACACTGTATGAGTCCATTAACATGAAGTTCAAGAACAGGCAGATAGTGGTAAAGTCAGCAGCAGCTGCCTTATATGTGTGTGGAAAGGAAATAAGAAGGAAAGAAAATCAAAGTGTACATTTCAAGGATTTTGAAAGGGGACAAATAGGGTAATGTGAAATAGGAAAGCCTATAAAGAGGTCTTTTGTTAGGAAAAGAAAAGTCAAATGTATTTTTAGTTTGAGGAACAGATGGAGAGGGAAGGATGACAATACAAGAGAGGGAAGAAGCAGATGACATCCGGAGGTGAGGAAAGTGGGAGGGAGGGGCAGGGGTCACCCTTGGAAAGGCATAGGACGCTCGTCCAGGATGTGCAAGGAGGGGTGAGGATCAGCTAAGTGAGGACAAAGGAGGGAAGTATATTAAAGAATTCAGAGTAGAGTGGGTATTTCACTCTTTTTGACTGGCTTCCTTACCCTATACAGTATCACCAACATCCCTGCAAATCCTAACTATTTGAACCTACTTCTCTCTCCAAAACTGAATTCTGCTCCACTCACCACCCCTTAAAAGATGCACGTGCATACAGAATCATGTAGGAAGTAGGGAGATATCTTCCCTTTACACAAAAATTTCTCTATTTTTTTTTTAGTGAGTATGTTCTTTTCATTCTACAAAGAAAACTGATTTCAAACTTATCTAGATAGCTAAATTAAATATATCCCCATGCACTTGATGTATCAAAACTTTGATAGTATAAGGTAAATAATTGGAACAAGTTTCTTCCTATTCAGTGTAACAGCCAGTGATAAGATTCTGGCACAACTCTACTTATAAGTAGAGCCTCTTGGGCCTCCCCAGTGGCGCAGCGGATTGAGCACAGCACTTTGAAGCTGTCCGCAGCCTGTGCAGCATGGGTTCAATTCCCAGCAGGCCAGGGAGATTCCCACATGGTGCGACAGACCTTTCCTGTGATTACCACAGACCTCTCCTGTCTCTCCCGTGGCTCCCCTCAGCAGTGCTTTCGGTCCGTCTGTCTGCCTGTTCTGCTCCCCGCTCTTTCTCTGGTGAATCCTCTCACCCTCCCATGCCTCTGCCCTGTACCCCAACTCTTGTATAAATAAATAAATCATTAGAAGTAAAGGCCTCTTGATGAGCAGGAATACTACAGTAGGGGCCTAGTGAGAAAACTACTTCATAAAAAGCATTCAGGAAAAGTCCTCTTTGAAAAGCACACATAGGCAATTCAAAAGGCAGACTACAAATGGCTAGACTATTAGAATAAAAGGAAAGCTTCACAACACTCAAAGAACAAAAATGAAAATCACACTCAGATGTTGTTTTATCAATTAACAAGGTTTGTAAATATACTACTTAAGATTTGGAAAAATAATACTTAAGGGTAAAGGGCTATGGGAACGCTCATAGACTGCTTGTAAGAGTATAAATTGGCTTATTATTTTCAAAAAGCAATAGAAAATGCATATCAAAAGCTTTAACAGTTACTTCAAATGGCCACAGCTTTTAAATCAATAATTATAGTTCAGGATGTCATCCTTTACTGAATTCACAAATGTAGATAAAAGCTTTTTCACACAAAGATATTCATTGCAGTGTAAATTATGATAGAGACATTTAGAAAAACCTAAATTATCTAACAATGAGGATTTCAATGATGATATTGTAAACTTTATAGGCATTCAAAATGTTTATAAAGAATTTTAACAATATAGGGAAATGTGACATGACAATTGATATTGCAAGCATCAAATTTTAAAATAGTTTCCTTAAAATTTAATTAATTTTAATTAAACTTTATTTTAAGCGGCAGGATCATATGTGATTTTTTTCCCTTCTCTACATCGCTGTCTATTTTTCACTGTGAATGGGCGTCATTTAAAAAATCCAAATGTAAAGTTATATTTTAATAAAGGAAGAAGGTACCTTTTGAACATTTTTGATAATAATATGCTCAGTACCCTGTATCTTAGTAACATGGGCCAAGATATCTAGCTGCAGTCAAATATTCATTCAGAAATATTTATTATTTACTATATACCAAGCCCTTGATATGTACTGTGGATACAAGGCTAAGGAAGATACTCAGACACCGATTGGCCCTTTGTAAGTTTATAATCTAGTGGAAAGGTAAAGTGTATTTACTTACTAGTGCTGCCATAACAAAGTGCCACAGATTAGGTGGCTTAAAAAACCAGAATTTTATTTTCTCACAATTATGTAGACCAGAAGTCAAGATGCTACAGTGCTGGTTTCTTCCAAAGACCCTCTTTTTGTCTTGTAGATAGCCATCTACCTTCCATGTTGTCACATCATTAGTATTGTGTGTGTCTGTGTTCAAATTTCCTCTTTTTATAAGGACACCAGTCACGTCAGACTAAGGCTCACCCTGATGAGATCATTTGAATTTAAATATCTCTTTAAAGTTTTTATCTCTGATACAGTCATGTTCTGAAGGGTCACATGTACTGGGGGCTAGAACATCAACAGTTTGGGGGCAATATACTCAGTTCATAACATAGAGGAAACAAAGAATTACATCAGGAAGGACAGAAAAAACTGAGATTAAAGGCTAAATATTATCATTGTCCGCCATGTACTACCGGTCACATCTGGGGAATGGTGTCATGTTTGTTCTTTAGTCTTCTTTTTCTTAATCTTGTTTTTCATATGTCTTATAGTTTTAGTAATTAACAGATTAATAGGAATGAAACACATTTTCACTTACTTGTGATGGAATGCAATTGACATTTAAAATTTATCTTCTCTTTAGATGTCAGAAAATGAATATTTATTCTTCGATGCCTGATACTACAAAATCATTCGTTTTATTTCAGAGAACAGATTGGGTTGTGAGTTGATACCTGCTGAGTTCCCAGATGAGCATATGCCATGATTATGAGGAAAGCTCGGTCTGATTCATATTCTCCAGAGCTGTAAACAAACAGAGGTAAGGGGAATAAACTCTGTCCAGGCTAATACCTTCTTCATGATTCATTTTCAATAATTTTAAAATTCAGAAGAATACTTCTTTATGGCACTCTTACATAGACTCTCCCTAGATATGGCACAGTCTACTTCCTATAACCTGTATTTCTTTTAGTCTCAAATCCTTCATGGCATGTGACAGGATCTAAGTAAGTTCATTAAGTTACTTAAAATTCATTAAAAATAAAACAAATTCATGAGACTGGATTGATCACAGTTGGAAAACATTTGTTGTATATGTTCATATGTACAACTCACAATCTGTTTATCCAAAGAACAGGGAAAATTTTACCTTATCATTTGAAAAGCAGTAGAATGGTGGTGTTGCCTAGTGGCTGAGGCCCTGGGCTCTGGTGGTAGGGGTACTACTTTGCACTTCCAAGAGGATCATGAAGATGACATGAACGAACTCCTTAGTGGCCCTTAACAATAGTGACTGGTGCACAGTGCTGTGTTCAGTATATGAGAGCTGCTATTAGACTTTGCTCTCTCACCCCTGTCACACAATGTGTTCAGACTTAACTCTAGTTGGTTACCCAAGATCTTTTTCAGAGTCAACAGTGAATGCTCTGTGACAATTCTGAGTACTTCTGTTGATAACAGAAGCTAAGTACCTGACCCCTTAACTATTTGAAGTTCAGCCTTTGGCTAGCTGGATCCACACATTGTAATAATTCTCCTTTCTATCACTAGCAAAATTAAATTTGTACAACTTTGAAAGCAAATTTTTTTTATACTATGCCATGAACTTGTAAGTACTCTGCATTCCCCTGAATTCCTGCAAGGCACCTATAGGACAGTCACTCTCACTGACTGCTTCCTCTTTCATGTGGGAAGTTTATGAGACCTACCTTCATTCGTTCATGCCTGTGTTGTTACATTTTCCAGTTATTCCAGTTATTGACCCTCTTCCACCTATATTATTCCTCCTTGATTTCCAAATTAAACCCTAAACCCTGAGATCTTACTGCATTTATTCCTCTGCCTGGTCCTTGGTTAATAATTACATGTAATTTACATTTTGTTAATTTGCCTGTATGAATTATTGCTTGACAAATGTGTTTTTTATTTATGAATTTTATCCCCCTGTTAGACTATAGGATCCTTGACAACAAGCATGTGTCCTTGAATTCTGTACTTTGTTCTACTATTTTATAATTTAAATACTGCTTTTTGCTAACTTAGGTCTTTTTATTATGTTTTCTTCTTAATCTTGTTTCCTTTTCTCTATCTGTAATCCAGCCTTCTTGTCTGGTCTCCTTATAGTTAATGTATGCCATCTAGTAATGCACACAATTCCCTATCCTTTTATCTTCAAGTATTTTCTGATACCTGTTTTACTTTTCTCTGTCTGCCAATCTGTTTAACTGTTACACCAGTGAAATTAAAGAGTTAAAATAATTCTAAGCATTTACAAAGGGAGAAAGTAGGCAAAGTGCTCCACTCCAGGTAGAAACAAGCTTTCCTCTTTGTAGCCACCCAAATATTCCCCCCTCCCCCTGCCCCCCCCAACATCAGATGAATAATGTGCAGACATAACTTGCCGGAAGCACCTTTCACACAGTGGGTGTGAACCACAAAAAGATCTGCACAGTTTCCTTTATCACATTTTCTCCTGTACCTTTCCCCTCTCTTTCCACTTTTATATATTCTCTCTCTCTCTCTCTTTCTCTCTCTCTCTCCCCCTTTCTCTCTCCCCCCGGCCCCAACTTTAAGATAATGTCCTATTAGTTTTATTCATCTCTAACTCTTGGTGTAGACCTGGAATATAGTAAGTGCTTAATATGGTTGTATTGAATAAATGAAATATTGAGCAAAGATTTGCTCATGGAAATACTAGTGCTCATTATTTATAATAGGTAAAACCTGGAAACAACCCAAATGCCCGAAAATAGATGACTGGATCAAGATGTGATATTTACACACAATGGAATACTGTTCAGCAATCAAAAAAAGATAAACTAATGCCATTCACAGTAATATGGATGGAACTAAAAGGAATTATGTTCAGTGAAATAAGTCAGAAGGAAAAAGGAATATATCGGATGGTTCACATATAGGAGGAATATAGGGGAACCAAATAAGATATCAGGGGAAAAATAATAACAATACAAAACACAACAAAACAAAAACAAACAGAGACAATTATAAACCAGAGACATCCTGCAGGAAGAAGGATGGGAAGGAGGGAGGGAGGAGCACAGGGGACTGAGATGATGGTGCACGGGTGAATTAGTGGACAGCGGTTGAGCACGGTTCATTCCCTGGCAGCCCGTGAGGGTCCCACAAAAAAAAAAAAAAAAGTAAATAAATTAATTAATTAATTTTAAAAAATGAACAATGATGTAAAATATATATAAATAAATAAAAGGAAAGAAAAAGAAAATGGTAGTGCTTATACTAAGCTCCCTTGTTTTCCAAAAACTTGGCTTTGCTTTTCTTTAAAGTATGAACCCTGGAGCCAGAATGGTGTGATTAATACCCAAGATCAACCTCTTATGAGCTGTAGAGAAAGAACCAATTATCTTTCCAAGACAAGTTTCCTCATATATAAAGCCTTATAGAATTGTCTGGATTTTCATACTTAGATCTGTACTCAGTTTATAGTAAACAACTCAAGAAATTTAGCCATTATTTATTAAAATATTAAAATGCATTTACTTATACAAGGAGACAAGGACTTGTCTAAATTTTCACACCATTGTCACCAGGACTTGACTAAATTTTCTAAAGGCCATGGATAATTCCTCTGTGAGCCTTGGACCTAGTTTTGGGGGTTAGGACAGAGCATTTCTAACCACAAAGATAACTGGTAATGTGATATCTAGGAGCTTATCTAGGAGCTTGGGTAAAAATTTTTAACTGCTTAATCATTTTTAAGTTATCGGTCAGTGATAGTAAATACATTCACATTTTCCTGTAACCGTCACTACTATCTATCTTCAGAACTCTTCATCTTCCAAAACAGAAACTGTACCCATTAACAACTCCTCATTCCCTTCTCACCCCAGCCCCTGGCAACCACCATTCTGTTTCCTGTCTCTATGGATTTGACTACACTAGGTCCCTTATTGTGTAAGTAGAAAGGGAGTATTTGTCTTTCTGTAACTGGTTTATTTCACTTGGAATAATGTCTTCTAAGCTGATAAATGTTGTAGCATGTGTCAGAATTTCATTCCTTTTTAAAAGCTGAATAGAATATTTTGTTTTAATTGGTGCAAAACATTCTCTTTCTATTGTTAGGTTTATAGGTGTTTTTCCCCTTTTAAGCAATGTTCCAATGAAAGTCAGGCTCTGTCTTCAAATGTCCCAAAATTATTTGAGGAATGAAACACTAATGGGAGATTTAAAAAAATATATAGATAAGTCTAGTGCTCAGGAAATTTTATTAAAAGTATGTTTTCTTGCCTTGATCCGAAATACATATGTTTTAATATGTATTGAAGATTCATTTAGGAGCAAAAGAGAAGAGTTGTTCAAATGTGTGGCTTTGTTGTTGTGTTCTGGCAATGATTGCCACATCTTGGTCAATGTCTTCACTGACCATAAAAGGATAAAAGTATGTATTTCCTTGATAATAATGAGAATGAGTTGGCAAGTGATCTCTGAGCTTTGGGATGGGCAGAAAGGTGAAGTGGAAGATGTTTTAACCTGCCAAGACTTGAGTTAAAGCCCTTAAAACTGTTTCTTTTCCAGTAATTGCTAAGATTATTAAATTGCAAAACTCGGTAAGAAAGTTTCTGGCATATATTTTATTTCAGACAGCAAGCCATTAATGAGAAATCAGTGAGACCCCAGGGAAGTAAAAGGCAAAATTACGCATTACAATATTGGCGGTTTAAGATATATTTTTCAGCAGGAATGAGGGTTTGGTAACAAGCCTGGAAATTTCATGGGCGTGGATGTTCCCTTTTTCTCAAAGGGAAAGGAACCTTAAATTGGATTTTATTTTATTACCCCAAGTGGAAGAAACAGTTTTGCATTCATTATTTATATCCTGCCTAGTACAAACATTATTTGAGGCAATTGAGAAAATATTAAAAAATGTAATTTAAGAAATCTGAATATAAATTCTCTAGCTTATCTTTCATTAAATAGGCACTGACTTGTTCCCTGAAAAGATGAGCAGAAACTTGAATGAAGAACGTAAACTCTTATGACGTGGGGAAGTAATTTGGTTACTTCTTGGATGTAGTTGTGTCTTGTCTCCCTGGAATTTGGTCAGTTCAGCTTTCTCTTGTAGTTAAGGTTTTCCTGTCCTGTAAATAAAGTAACCATATGTTTGAGGTTTTCTGGAACAACCCCAATTTAAAAATTCTTTCCTGTTGTTAGACCATGTGTCATACCATGTGTCCTTTATTTTTATGGAAAATGTGGTCATCTTACCTGTAATTTTTAGTATTTCCCTATTGGCCTTTCCTTCAAGGTACCTCGGGCTCTGTGTTGGGTTATACATTCATTCTGCCTATTCTGTGAGATTTACCTGACACTTTTGCATGTCTGTACAGTCAACCTGCCTTCTCTAACCATCTTCAGAAAACTTCCTTCTCCCATCTACTTCATTTGCCTAATATTTGTTATACTCTACCTAATATTTCATTGCATGTGATCTCATAGTGTTATTATATGTGGCTGAGTCTCCTCCACTAAATTGTATAGTCAGGGAGAAGGAAACACCACAACATCACCTGAATTTCTTCCATAACTTCCAAGGTACCTCATTCAGTGCTGGGCATACAACTGCTTCTGTTAAGAAAAGAAAAGAAAGATTTATTGAATCTTTTGTGTCATTCAGGGCAGAGACCCTTTTGAAAAAGTCTCTACCTGAAACATACAATGAACCTGAATATATTAGATTATTAGTTAAACCCTCACAAGATTCTTGCAAGAATTCAAATGTAGACTTTCAGCACCAGATTTCTCTTCTAGGATATTTGATATACCTATCTCTCCAATAACAAA